GTGTGTGTGTGTGTGTGTGTGTGTGTGTGTGTGTGTGTGTGTGTGTGAGACGAAGCTAGAAAAGTGACCATGAGAGGAAGAGACCTTAAGGAATAAGATGAAAAGAGGGTTATGGAATAAATGTGATAAGGTAGCAGAGGGGGTTGTCTCGGGGAAGGATGGGAATCAGCCAGGAGGGGCTACAAAGCACATGGAAGGACAGTGTGGAAGGATAATTAAGACTAAATATAGTAACATTCGTGTATGAAAAAATAATTAAAGAAACTCATTGCTTTTTATGATAACAAAATATAAACATTTAAAAATTGAGTTTGGAGTCAGAAGTTGAAGAAGAAACTCAAGAAGCTAAAGGAGAAAGACTGTTTGACAGCCAGGCAGAGGCTTCCCTTCGCTAGTTCCCACTTGCAATGGCAAACTGTCCGGGTGCGTCCTTTGTTGCAGGCAGGAGCTCTCACAGGAATGGGAAAACTTCTTTACAGCATTGTTAAAACCACTCCAATACGCGTCTCTGCAACTGACTACTCGTGCAAATATGACAACAGTCTTCTCGGGAGTCAGTGTTCTCTACACAGAATTTGGACATGAGGGTCTTGACTATCCTTCATTCATGGAGCTGTTCTGCCAATGGGGCCCAGGAGCCTTTCCTTAGTAGGTTGTGAAATTGAAGGAGATAACCTGTCCTTACCCTTGATGCTTGGTGACACGGGTCTATAGCTACTGGGCTTTCTGAACTACAATCTCAAGTCCCATTTGGACAGGAAGAGACGGGGGCCATAAAAGACTGCTGCGCTGACTTCAGTCAAATTAATAACTCGTTTTCCAGAAAACCAATGAATTGTTCTTACTTTTCTTTTTTATTTATTTATTTTTATTAATTACACTTTATTCATTTTGTATCCCCCCATAAGCCCCTCCCACCTCCCCTGCCAATCCCCCCCTCCCTCCCCTTTCTGCATGCATGCCCCTCCCCAAGTCCACTGATAAGGGAGGTTCTCCTCTCCTTTCTGATCTTAGTCTATCAGTTCTCATCAAAAGTGGCTGCATTGTCCTCTTCTGTGGCCTGGTAAGGCTGCTCCCCCCTCAGGGGGAGGTGATCAAAGAGCAGGCAATCAGTTCATGTCAGAGACAGTCCCTGTTCCCATTACTAGGTAACCCACTTGGACACTGACCTGCCATGGGCTACATCTGTGAAGGGGTTCTAGGTTATCTCCATGAATAGTCCTTGGTTGGAGTATGAGTCTCTGGGAAGTTGCCTGTGTTCAATTTTTCTTGTTCTGTTGCTCTCCTTGTGGAGTTCCTGTCCTCTCCAGCTCTTACTATTTCCCACTTCTTACATGAATGGAATTTTATGTTCTTACTTTTCTTACCAGCCAAATATGTCATGTACTCTTATTTTTCTCTCTCTGAGGCCATGTCTCTCTCCAGGTTAGTCATGGCTCCTAAACAGTGCATTTGGCTTAAAAGCATTTATTCTTCTGTTTTTCCTCTTCCAGGTAGCTATAGATTTTACTGCCTCTAACGGAGACCCCAGGAACAGCTGTTCCCTGCACTATATCCACCCTTACCAGCCCAATGAGTACCTAAAGGCCTTGGTGGCTGTGGGAGAGATTTGTCAAGACTATGACAGGTAAGAAACTTCCGGCATCCACTGGGGTCTTAGCTCTCAGGTGGGGTCCCACTACCCTTGGCTGACTCATGGCTGAAGAGCGGGAATCAATGCCAGCAATTCTTCAGGCAGTGGCACATGAAAGACAGGGATAAAACCTTTTAAAACATTTCGTCCCCCTGCATCTAGAGAAACTCAGCTGGGGCCACACTCTCCTCAGCGAGCTGACAAAGCCCTCTCTCAGCTTGCTGCTTTTATTAGGTTTGTGAAATCGCTGGATGGCAGATCAAACTTTCACTGTGTTACTTAGTGCAAAGGTGTCCTTGTTCCTCACAGTTTGCTCATGAACTAGCATCACCCCAACCTGCTGAATCGGAGTTTGCAACTTAAGGAGGTTCTCGGATGTCTGGTGTACATGTCTGGGTTTTTATAAGTGTGGTTTTATCGGATGTTGCTGTATCCCTGCTCTGTGTGATACACGTCTTATATAACAGCCATCCTTTTAGAAGAATGAGACTATAGGAGGGATAAGTCATTTGTATAACTGTCACAGAGACAGAGATGATATTTGAACCACAATCTTTCACACTCCACAACACTAAGTTCAAAATCACTGTGTTTTGCTGATCTTGGAAACTACAGGTAACATTAGCAGAGAGATATGTCTGCTCAGGTGCACATCTATGTGGGCAGGAAAGTAAGTGTGTGTGTATGTGTGTGTGTGTGTGTTGACATATATGTGAAGATGATCTTGGGATTCAATGAGTATTATTTGTTTCTTGATGATAAATACTGGCCCTTCCCCTTATCTGGTGACGCTACAGTGACAGCTTACTGTCGTTTTTTGTTGATCATTCTTTGGGGGAAATACTATGGGGGAAGGAACGCAGATGTTTGCTTGAGTCTTTTTGAGGAGAACCAATGTAAACATAACACAGACATCTCAGAAGACTCCCGGGTGTGACTGTGAAACAAGGCTAGTTAGTGATGAGCTGTAAGCAGCTGACCTTTTAATCCAAGAAAACAAACAAGGGAACTCTATCCTCTGGGTTTAGAGAAACTTCAGCACATAACATGATTTCTGTTCTGCCTGAGTTCATTATTGGTAACAACCACGCTAAAAACCTGTTCCTGCCACAGCACAGCAAAGGGAACATCCCTGTGAAACCTTCAACATGGATTATAAGAAAGGTCCAGTCAGTCTCCTGCCTGCTGAGGTCTCTGTATTCAATCAGCTCAGTAAAAATACCCCAGCGTGGCACAGAGATACTTAGAGAGTAAATTGCTAGATCCTATGAAATCAACAAGGAATAAACATACACAAAACTCTCTGTTGGCTCTTGCTGCACTCATAAAAAACACTTCAATAATCATTTTAAATCACCTTGTTGAAGTAAGTGATAAGTCATTCTTGATTGTCAATTTGATTATCTCTAGAATCAACTAAAACCCAAGCAGCTTGGTACACCTGGGCGGTTTTGTTTGTTTGTTTGTTTTTGTTTTTCTTAATTGTGTCACCTGAAGTAGGAAGACCCACTTTTAATCTGGATCTTCTGAGGTGAAAGGATACTCCTTCAATATGGCCCACGTCTTCTGGTGGCAGCCTGTTTAAAGGACATGGAAGAAGAAAGCTTCTTCTCTTTGCCTGCTTGTTCTCCTTGGCAAGTCCATTCCTTCTCTGGCATTAAAACCTACTTCTTTAGAATTCCAGAATATACTGAAGACCAACTGAGACTTCCAGCGTCGAGAACTGAACAACTGGTGGATTCTTGGGCCATTGTTGAACTAGCTGGACCACAGCCTGTAAACTGTTCTAATAAATCGCCTCTATAGATGATAGATATAGATTAGGCAGATAAATGATAGATAGATAGATAGATAGATAGATAGATAGATAGATAGATAGATAGATAGACAGACAGATAGATGATAGCTATTCATTCTGTAAGTTCTGTTCCTCTAGAGAACCCTGACTAATAATACAAAGTGACACTTTAAATACTTAACCTTGAGATACCAACTGGGACAATAATGAGTTTCAGCTCTGATTTCTTCAGGCGCCAAGTCAGGCATGGTTTCTAGGAAGATTTGTATCAGATGAAGTTTTTACTAGGAGAAAAGGGTTTGATATGCTACATCCACACTGTGTCAGAGACTTCTTCAAGACACAGGAGTGAGAATTGTTTCTCTTCCTTCACTCTTACGCAAGCACGTTAATAATCTAGTGTAGCCTTGTGTGACCATGTTAGGCGATAAGAAAGAATGGAGAGAATGTTTCCAGGATCACTAATGTTTGGATCTTAAGAAGGTAACTTTCCCCATGCGCGCTGTTCACGTCCAACTCAGGCAACATAGTAAGGACCCCATGTAAAATAAAATTTAAATAAATAGACAAAAGAACTGAATATGTGGAATATATTATAATAACTGTAAACCCTCATGGAAGAAGGCATCCAATATTGAATTCCAAAGAGTGGAGTGGCCAGTTTCCCAGAAACTGAGATGGGGAGACTGAGAGTCTGCCTCATGGTCCTGTATTACCTTCCTTTGCTGACCTGGACAATCACCCAGCATCAGCAAGCATTTACTGGCCAATCCCTGCAGAATGTGCCCATTTCCTGGTTGCCTCACATGCAGGATGACATGACCATCAGAGTGATGTGGGCATCTCTTAAAGCTTTCATCCCTTTAGAATGCAAACCAGACAAGTACTGACAGATATGTTGGATCCCATCAAATTTAACAAACAAAAACAAAAAACAAAATTCGATATAAACATAAGATGTGTCATCTTAGAAGCTATTTGAAGTAACCAGAAATGAGTCCTTTTACATTTTAATAGTCTAAGTCTGAAGTCACCATTACCAGCTGAACAAAAAAAAAAAAAAATCAACTTTGGACAGGGCAGCACAGCAACGTTTTATTTGTTTAAAGAAGGCAGCTCAACATTAAAATGGGAAATTTTAAAGAAGAAAAGGTGGTTTCAAAAAAAAAAATTTCATGGTCTTTTAAGCAACTCCCTGGGAGAGCTTGGAATGCAAGCTGCTCCCATGAAAGCTGACAAGGTTCGGCAATTTCGCTTTTGTGTGGGTGGATAGACAGTAGACAGGCAGAGTCAGGAAATTTCAAGTCAAGGTTCTGGAATTAATTTATTCTTGCATCAAAGTCAGGGAGGTTGGCGCTTTAAAAGAAACACTTGCATAAAAACTGACAGAAGGCATCACCCGCTCCCGCAACCCCACAGTGGTTTTCGGTTCCCATGAGGCTTAGCAATTCCTCTCTGCCTTTGACAGCCTCGGGCTTTCTCTCTGCCTTGTGCAGTCACCACTACTGGATCGTTAGTGGGTGACCCACAGAGCAGAACAGCTTGAGGGGTACATGAGGCTCTTCTCCAGATGGCCTTGAAGGAGTGCTCCCCCAACCACAAGATGGCAGTCCCCAAATCCAACCTTGCCGGCCCAAACTATTCCCTCGCCATCTGCAAGGACATTCACCAGCCCATCTGCCTCTCCTTTGGAGACACACGAACAGAGACACACATGTGTGTGAGCACGTGAGCACGCACACCCCTGCACGCACACAGCTCCCATCTTAAAGGGAATGAGATGTTGTTCTGGAGCCATTTTGAATGACTGTAACCTGGGGACACAGATTTAGGTTACCCCAAATGACAGGCTCCAATGTGGAAGCAGTTTCATGAAGATTTATAGTTTTACAGAACAAAGGAAGTCATAAATCAAGGCAAGTTTAAAATACACTGGTGAGCATATCAGCAAGGCTGGTACAGTAATATGGGGCAGGGGTTGGCTCTTCTATATTCCCACGATGCTGTTTTCAGTAACATTCCAATAGATTCCAGGTGTTTTTATCTATTAGCCAGAGGACGCTACTTTCAGCTTAGAGGTGGGTAAGGAATGGCTATCCTGTGAGCTAAGGCTAGCCTGAAATAAGGCAATTAGCCTCTAGTATTGAGCATTCTAATCTCTCCACAGTATTGGAATTCTGGTCAATCATTTAGTGTCTGCAGAGAAAGGTTCTTTTGAAGAGTTTTCATTCACAGCCTCCACTCTTCTTGTACACCTCAGTGTCAAAGTGGCATGCTTTTCTTAGGGCCAGTATGGCTGTGGGTCTCAAGCCATCTGAACTGACCTCCAATAAATAGCCTGGTGTGGACCTGTTGGCACAGGTCTGTAATTACAGTGACTTTGGAATGTGAGACAGGAAGACTGCAAGTTCAAAGCCAGCCTGGGCAACTTAGTGATACCCTGTCTCAACATTTTAAAAATAAAGTCAAGACGGAGCTGGAGTGGTAGCTTAGTGCTAGACTACTTGCCTAGATGCGTGAGAACCTGAGTTCAGTCCCTAATACCATGAAAGAAAAGGGGAAGGAGGGAGAAAGAGAAGGCAGCCTGTCCTGTGATCTAGAGACTAGGGACCAAATGCATTGCTCTACAAGCACGGGTGCAGGCCTAAACAAGTGGCCACCTCAGAATAGATTCGGGACATCAGAAAGCAAGGCAGGGGTGTATTAGGTCCTGTATTAGGGGACAGCTCAGAACTGAAACACAACCTGACAGGTGTACAGATGGCACCAGGTTAGTCAGCATAAGATGGGGGTTCTCTCAGTACAACCCTTGCCATACCCCACCTCACCCAGTCGGGGCTCCCATCTTTGTCTGCACACCCAAAAAACACTTGGGAAGTTTCAAAGATGCTGGTACTTGAGCCTCATCTCCATAGGCTGATTTCACTGTCTGCTGCGTACCTAGAAATCCTGATTGTGTTCTTGTTGTTGCTGTTGTGATAGGTAACCAGGGTCGAAATCCACCATTAAATCATGAGTGCTGGGTCTGTTAGACTGCCAAGGTTCCTACAGCATCTCCTAGATACCATTCTCCTGTGTAGGACAGCAACGATTAAAAATAAATAAATTAGCATGGCAGAATTTTCTCTATGTAGCTCACAGTCTACTGGAATACAGAGGCGTGTCAATAAGTCATGGTAATTCAGGTGTCGTGGCT